AGAAAAAAATAAATCCTATCATTTGCAACAACATGGATGGAGCTGGAGGATATTATGCTCAGTGAAATAAGACAGGTGAAGAAAGACAAGTACCAAATGATTTCCCTCATTTGTGGAGTATGACAATGAAGCAAAACTGAAGGAACAAAACAATAGCAGACTCACAGACTCCAAGAAGGGACTAGCGGTTACCAAAGGGGAGGGGTGAGAGAGCAGGGGAGAAGATTGAGGGGTATTATGATTGGCACACATGGTGTGGGAAGGATCATGGGGAAGACAGTGTAGCACAGAGAAGACAAGTAGGGACTCTGTGGCATCTTACTACACTGATGGACAGTGACTGCACTGGGGTAATGGGGAGGACTCAATAATATGGGTGAATGTAGTAACCACATTGTTTCTCATGTGAAACATTCATAAGGTGTGTATCAATGATACGTTAAAAAAAAAAACTAAAAAAAGAAATGCAACTGACTTGCATTTTGATTTTGTATCCTGCAACCTCACTGAATTTGTGTATTTGTTCTAACAGGTTTTTTTCTGTGCAGCCTTTAGGGTTTTCTATATATACTATCATGTCGTCTGCAAATTTAAAAATAGTTTCACTTTTCCTTTCCCAATTTGGATGCCTTTTTTTTTCTTGCCCAACTGCTCTGGTTAAGATTTTCAGTACCATGTTGATTAAAAGTGGCAGGACTGGGCCCCACTGTCTTGTTGCTGATCTTAGAGGAAAAGCTTTCAGGTTTTCTCAATTGAGTATGACGTTAACTATGGGTTTGTTGTATATGGCTTTTATTATGCTTAGGTATGTTCCTGCTATACCCAGTTTGTTCTGAGTTTTTATCATGAATGGATGTTGAATTTTGTCAAATGCTTTTTCAGCATCTATTGAAATGGCCAAGGATTTTTACCCTTCAACTTTGTCAGTGTTGGGTATCACACTGATTGATTTGTAGTACTGAACTATCCTCGCAGCCCTGGAATAGATCCTACTTGATCATGGTGTATGATCTTTTTAAAGTGTTGTTGAACTTGGTTTACTAATGTTTTGTTGAGGATTTCTGCACCTATGTTCATCTGGGATATCGGCCTCTACATTTTTTTTCTCGTAGTGTTTGTTGTCTGATTTTGCTATCAGGATAATGATGGACTCATAAAACGAGTTTGGAAGTATTCCCTCCTCTTCTATTTTTGAAAAAGATTGAGAGAGACTAGTATTCTTTAATGTTTGGAAGAATTTACTAGTGAAATAATTTGAGAAAAATATTTAAATTCTGAGCCTTTCCTATAAAATGGAGTTATGCCTACTTATATCATAGGATTTCTGTATAAGTTAAGAAAATCCTTAATACACTATCTAGAATCAAATAGTTATACAATAGATGTTAAATCTCTGCCTATATGCTATATGCCCCCCTCCCAAAGCAAAAGCACAGTCTACCTAAAATGCCCTATCTTAATGTTCATTCTACCTGGTTATGGTCAAGATAGCAAGAGCCATTAGTTGAGTTCTAGTGGAAAAAATTCTGAGAAAACTGTTCATTTACTCTGGTAGCTACTTTCAAGTTATGGTTACTTAAAATTCAAGTTTTTAAATGTACCAAATTACCCCCATTAGATTAAAAAATAATAGTAAAGAATAAAAGCATCTGTACTAGACAATCCATCTCATTTATATTATAATTTCTCTTTAATTGATTTTAGAAATGTAACAAACCTTTGATGAAGTAACTGCTGAGGAACTTGTGGGTGAGGTGTCTCTTGATGTTTTCAAAGACTGAACAGGTCTCTCTTTATCTATATAAGAAAATATAAAATGTAATATTCTAGCTCATTTGTTTTCAATTAGAGTGGTTTATATTGTAATTGAATAAATGGGGGGAATCATACACTTATTTCAGTACTGAAATCTTCATTATATTATTAAATCTGTTAATATCTAAATTCACCTCTCTCTCTTAGGAGATGGGTACCGCCAAAATTACAAATACTCTAGAACGAATGAACATCATATATGGCAATCTGAGTCACACCAGAGCCAGTGAGCAAACATGGAACCACCCAGAAGACCTCAAGAACAGCAAAAAAAACTTCTAAAAATCATAAACGCTTCTTCCTCCAAGTTCATAAAAGCTAACTTTTAATATGTCACAATAAAAATCCAAGAGTAGTTATTATGCAGAGATCACAAAGGAATTAGCTAACTATAAACGGTAGTTCAGAGAGAGGCATGTAGGAAATTCAGCAGATATTCCTGAACTGTTTAGACACTTTAAAAAATGAAAACTAGAAAACCATAATTTAGAGCACTAATCCAGTGCCTGGTACAAATGAGTACCAAAATACTTATTAAATGGTTAAAAATAAACCTGTATGAAATATAGTCACTAACCTTTATCTTTAGTCCCTATAGATACCTGCATCATACTCTATGTATATCATTGTTTCCATAGAAACTTAAGCCAGAAAATAGACTTAAGCAATATTACTTTAGTTGGTTCAAAAATAATTTTTTTATAACAACAGTATAATTGTTAAAGTAACTATGAGCTGTTACTGAAAGAAAAACATTTCATTACATTATCCTTATGTGTCAACTATGACATTATTGCCCCACTCTTAACTGCTAGGAAAACTAACAAAATTTAATTATGGAGAAGAAGAGAAAGTGACACCAAGTTTGGAGTGGCACAAGCTGGTCAACATGTGACAGTGGGTTAAGCCAGAAAACAGTCAAGGGCAAAAGCAGAGACAAAACCACCTTGAAACTGAGGCGAAGGCAGCTTCAGCCAAGAAGCTCATAAGCTCTTCCCGCTACGGTCAAATCGCTAAGGGCCCCAAGGTCAGAGGCTTACAGCTGGGGCAGTGGTGCTGACCTCTTTCCAGTGCCCGGCAGGCCCAGAAGGCTCTCCTAGCACTGCCCTCCTCTCTAGGGACATGTGGCGATGTGTCACAGTATTTTTGGTCGTCATGGTGGAAAAGGCCACGGGCACAAGGTGAGGGGAGGCTGGAGATGCTGCTGAATATCATACACGTGCACAGGCACAGTCCTGACAGCGACGACTCATCCAGCCTCACAGGCCAATGGTCCCGAGGCGGAGAACTGCTCCGGGCGCAGTATTTCTACTCTGAAGCTCCAACAGTCTTTAAAAAGACTTAACTTTTAAATCTTTTAACTTGTAGTAACATTAACAGGCTTTCACACTAAGCAAGTTAAAGAGCTCTTCTGGACCTTAAAAACCCAACAATAACAACCATCACTACATCCCCAAATGACGGGGAATACAGTTCAGTTATTCTCTAATGTATTTCCACTGCACGTGGCAAATTGCACGTCACATTGTGGCGGTGCCGGTCCACCCTACTGCACCAAAGGTCTCAAGAGGAACAAGTATCATAGATTATTTCTTTCTGAACACCCAGGACCTCGTTCGAGGCCTTTAAGGATAGGAAAGGCACTTAGAGATCAGGTCAAAAGACGCAGTACTTTCCTACCCACAGGATGCAATGACCTGCCCATCCTATTCATCCTTGAAATAAGATGAGGAGCGGGACCCATCAGCACCATACGCTATGCTAATTTAAGGCGTAATCGTAGGCTTGACCCTGGCACATCACGGCCAGACACAGAAAGAGAACTCTTACAAGCAGCTGCTGATCTCTTACCCAAGAAGCTACTGGCACTGAAGACATACCAACTCGGATGCCCAAGTGCGGCCGCAGACTGTTTCCTGATCTGAGGACAGGAAAGGCTAATTCAGGCAGATTCTAACTTCCTAGTGCGCAGAAGCAAAGGAACACTGAAGGGCAGGGCGGGTGGTCCGTCACGTGACCACACATACGCACATGTACCTGATGCATGAAGAGCAGGCGCACGCAGGAAGCAAAGGACAAAGAAGGACGGTACAGATGGCAGCAGAAAGAACACAGAAAAGGCAAAAGAAATCCCCTGGCCTTGCTGTTGCTCGGTCCCATCTGTCAGTGACTGTCTACCACGTAATGACAATACACTAACGGGGCAGTTACACTCTTCTTGTTTCTATGACCTCCATCACTTCGGGCCCCCACCCCTTCACAAGCCCAAGTCAAAATCTAGCTTAAAACTCACCTCTTTCCGGCTTTCCTTCATTCTGCCGTTTGTAGAAGGCACCAGCACGCACGGACTCTAGGGAAAGGTGGGCAGGGAGGAAATAAGACAGCACCTCTGTGCCCAGAGGAACAACAGAAGGACCCGGAAGTGGGAGTGATGAGAACAGGACCTTCTGAGCATTTGCTGGTGACTCCTGAAACTCCTTCCTACCCTGCCTTCAGGTGGCACTGCCTGAGCAAGCACCACGGAAGATGAGTAAGTGCCAGCAGAGGAGCTCAGAAGCTAACCGGGCCCACCAACGACGACGTGCGACAATGAGGCTAAGGAGAGCACGGGCAGAGATGAGAAAGGATCTGAACACCAAACGCTGAAGACAAGGATCATGTCTTTCTCATCACTGTAAGCACCTCATCTAATTCCTCCATAAAGTCAACATTCAGGGGATTCGTTAAAGAATGACGCCCACACACAAAAAAACAAGAGAGAAAGATTAATTGCCACCAGAAGTCAAGAAGAACCCTGGGAAGGTCTGCATGGGCATCTCATCAGTCCCCTGGGCTCATGACAACCTGCAGCAGCTCTTCTGACTTGCTCCTGACAAGAAGCCTATGACTGGATCTTGCAAATTCTTCTTAGGCAGCTCTCTCTCATGGATTTTCTTTCTAAACAAATCCACAGCTACTGTCTTGGCTGAACTGCTAAGTATCCAGTATTTAGAATATTGTGAATATTTTGTTAGCTTCCTTACCTGCAAACTCTGAATGGTACATATGGAATCAATTTTCTAAATAGCCTAAATATACTACTAATAGGGGCTCCCAGATATCTTCTAATAAGATGTTAACTCTTTAATGTTTATTTCAAAATTTTCTATTGTAGAGCCCTGTCAATTTTACCTTTTTTTCCTGAGAAAACATACTTTTCTGAATTGTTTTGGCATTGTCAGCACCATGCATTAAAAATGTTCCAAGAAATATGTAAATACTGCTATCCTGTTTTTGCAAGAATGTTGTTAACAATGTAGTGTCCTTCTGTCCCTGGTCACTGATTTCTCTGTCATCAGGACAATGTTTGTTCCCTCTCGGCTGCTAATTTATTTGTATCTAAGACACACTGTGAACACCGTTACTGCTCACTTCCTCTTTGTTTTGGCCAAATACTTAGTTGACCTACATCGACTGTTCAGAGCATTATCATGGGTATTTATTTCATATCTACTAACTTTAGTCTTACTTTTATTTTCATATTTTTATTTCTCTTTTACATAAAATTCTGTACCCATTTACTGACTTCTATTATATTAAGTGTTTGTTAACTTGTCTCAAATTCTTTGTGACATGTTAATCTGGTCTGTCTGGAGTCTGGGGGTGGTTCGTCGTAGTTGTTAAGAGAGGTCTGCCTACATCTCTTCCAAATCCCAAGTCCGAGTGACTCCCTGTCGGTAGCCTGAAGTCGGTCACGGTGGCAGTACTCCCTTTGTGGATCATCAGCGAATGCCACAAATCACGTGCTTTCCCCATGAAGAGTCAGTTTACCAACACACCACTGGCGCTGTGTTTACCTGCTTCTATTACAGATTTTAAAAATTACCACACCTAACTACATGTTGCCCTTTAACAGGCCTGGGCTATTTAGTAACATCCTAACAGATCAGTAAAACCTCCCACCTGAACATTGCTCAAATTGCAGACTCACAGATAAACCAGTAGTTGCTTCATCCACTGAGTTTTAGGGTATTTTTTTAAAACACAAAGCCTTCATCCCAGAGTTTTCAATGACCTGTTTATATTAAAAATAATCTTTCTTCTTGTCCTTTATGATAGCATTTTAATGACTTAGAAACTAGTTTTTCTTAATCTTTTGCCATTTGGCTTTCAAGCCTTGTGCTTCTGTGTGTGCCTTACTCTAGTGCCCTATTCAACCTTTCCTTTTCTTCTTGGCTGGTTATTCTTCCCTGAATGCGACCGTTCCTCTTAACCTCACTCATTTTTGCTCTGGTATTCTTATGTGGCTTCAACCTAACCTATGAATACAATGACTCTAAAATCTGCTTTTTTTATTCCTGTTTGTATACTTCTGATGGGATGCTATTCCTCGGCTATTTGGCCATTACCTCAAATCCATCTCCCACATGACCTCAGCAAGCGGACAGTAACTCCCTGCTTGAGCACAGGGCAGAACGGCTCAGCACGATCCTGCCTCTGCTGCGACCTGCTAAGGGAAATGAATCCCAGATCAGGAGGAAAGGAAAGAGAAGTTCTGAAAGTGGCAGTAGGGAAATCAAAATCCAAGTCAATATACTGCTGAGTGAAAGAACACATGGGGAGGAAGGAAATGAAGAGGAATTTCAAATACTGGTTCTACAGATCGGGTATCAAGTTCTTCCCACAGAAATGAAATCAAAGCTGGAGCAGTTCACTGTTCCAAATGTTGACAAGTTCTGTAAGAATTTAATAATATTTGCTGACTCTCTGAATATAATAACTGTGTTTCCGATATGATCTTCCAGAAATACACTTTCTTCCTAAAAGGAAACTGGTTTCCTGATGAAGGCAATGGTGAACCCAACCAGACACACCCAATCCTATCGAGTATTATCACTGATAACTGATGTGGCACCAAAGGTCACAGCTGGGAAAAACGAGTCAAATCATCATTAGAGATGATAAAGTTTGGGCCTATGTCTTGCAAACAATTACATTCTTAGTACAGTGCCTAACAATTAGGAACAAAACAGATACTACTGGATGAAAGTCGTTTATCAAGAAACCAACTTCACAACCTACGTCGGGTATTCATCTCTCCTCTGGTCACTGAAGCTTTAAGAGAAATCAAGACACAAAGAAACGAACATGTGGTGGACACACAGATGCTAAGGAAGCATTTTTTTTTTCTGGATAATGGATGAAGATACACAAAAGTGGGGCTCTTGGTCAGGAAGAATATGATTTTCCAGAGATCTACTCATTCATTCAAGGAGGTATGAAAGAAGGGGAGGACCCAAGAGAAACGCTCTGGGGTAAAGACACTGAAAAATGACAGAAAAACACCCATCAGGTACAGGCGTCAAGAAGCTTTGCACCACTCTGCTTCCCCCAAACAGTCACCTTTAGGAGGTGAGAGATGCAACAAGCTGAAGGAAAGGCATATTAACTATGAACAGAATTCTTTAACACGTGAGCCAAAACCACATGGCTTACCTTCAAAGTAGAAATAAAACATTACACCATCCGTGCGTATGCACGCTGACTGTGTGCCGCTGACAGCACACGAAGTCCCTGAACAGGATGCTGCCAAGTGCCTACACACACGGGAGCATCATTACTGACCACTGCTGTAGGGCCTCAATCATCCAAATGCCAGAAAAGCCATAGCCGTCCTCCTAGGGCTCACACAGGAAACTCACAGCCAAAGCTCTCTTGTGAATGAAGATTAGATTCTCAAGCAAGAATAATATATTGTAGCACCTAATTCAGCAGCCGATTAAGTCTGGATCCACTAATTGCTCAAGATCTTCTTGGAAAGTAGCCAACTACACCTCAGAGCCTCCACAAGAAACAGCTCATGCCAATAATCCTTCTCCACTTACATCCTTCCACCAACTTCTACTCACCTTCAGGTATTACCAAAAACATCTATTCCTGTGTAATGACCTGTTTGTCTTCCTCATTAGATCACAAATTCAGGGGGCAAACAATGCATCTATCTTGGCAAACCATGTATGTGAAATATATTTTTGTTGACTATAAGACCATGTGGGTATTGAATACAAATACAGTGACTTTCAAACCACATCACACTATGGTATCGGCTGCCAAGAGAATGGGTTTATCCTCCCATCCTATTGCCCAAAACACACAGTCTGACTAGATAAAGCCCCATTTGCACATCTCCATTACCACTGTATACCTGCACAGAAAAGCCTTCTATCTAAAGGCAGAGTTAAACTTCTAAATTTATTGGAATGTCAGCTATAATCCAAAAATACATATGGATTTCCAAATTTATTCACAGGCATCTAGTCCCAAGAAATGTGCCTTTTTCAATTACATTGCAGTTCAAAGATGGAGTCTATCTTCCAAATAAACTCTTATCAAATAGCATTTTGAATTCTTGTACATTTTCAGTTATCTTAGAAGATGTGCTTTCAGAAAGGATTAAACACTAATGAATAAACTTTTCTAAAATATCATCTATTCTTGATAATGGCTGCCAATAAAATAAAGGCAGGATGGAACCAAAGTTAGAGCTATAGAAAACCATAAACCTGCAAATCTTTCATAGTAATATTTTTAAAATTCTACCAACACACCATACTGTCTAATTAGTGCGTGAGCCCACTGATAAATCTGACATCAATCTGTGGCAAATGTTCAGAATGAAGGAAGAGGTTGTTTGTAAGTACCTACACTCATCCCCAGAAGGCACCGTGCAGTTAGAAAGCGAAGCAAGGCAAACTCTACGTCACTGGTTAGGTAGGGAAACGCTTTGTAACTTAGGGGTTTCAAGGAATTTTGTATCTGACCAAGTGGTTCCATGAAATTCTCAAGTGCAAAGGACAACAAGATGGGGATCACAACTGGCTGAATGGTAGCGAACAACACAGAGAAGTGGCCGAGATCCGCAGAGAGAGAGCTCTACAGGTCTTCATATTCGGCCTTATGCTACTCAGTGTAATTATTAATGACTAAAAAAAAAAACACGTAAAGCATATTTCACTTGCAGATAAAACAGACGTGTTTTGATCTGCTGCTAATACACAGGATCACTAAATGAGATTTTAAGATTTTTGTAAGAGAGATTAATAAAAAGCTAATCAGATGAAATTTAGCATTCCTAGATTTCTTTTACTGCATTAACTACAAACAAACATTTACACCTAGAAAAAGTACAGGGTGAAGGACATTTTGTCTAATAGTGATGTATGTGACAATGGCTTTAGGCTTCTGTTACCTACAGTCTCAGTAAGGGCCAGTAATACAACATCCCTGACAAAATAAAAGTTCACCTTGAGCATCACCTCTTAAAAGGAACAGAAAGTAAATTAGAAAAGCAATTTTGTTCTGAAAACTAAGCCAAATAAAAGGAACAGCTAAAGAAACTGATATATTTAAACCCAAGGAAATGAATCAAGAAGCTTATGACGGCACTCTGCAAATCCGCAGAGGGTTAGGACATGAAAGGAAGAAATATAGTATGGCTCTAAGTCAAACAACTAGTATTAAAGGGATGTCGCAGGAAAGAGATTTTAATTGTTTTATGAAAACTGAGCTCTACAAAAACAGAAGGGCTGGAAGTACTTGAACAAAGACTGGGTAGAAGAGTCTGAATTAGTGATGTCACTTAATGTCATTTTTTAAATCTTAAACAAAAGGTGGGCAACAAAAGTCTAAGTAGGAGAGCAATGGAATCCACTTGAGAAAGGGGCAAAAAAAGGAAAAATGTCTGAGAGTGACAAATGGAGAGATGTTTGGTTAGAATCATTAGAATAAAAGTCAACAAAAATATAAAGGTATATATAATACCTAACAACAATTTTAACTAGAACAGTGTCATAATAAACAAGGGGGAAGGAAGGGAGGTCAACTAGGACAACCTACATGGTTAGCATATAAATACAGACGACAAGAAGGAACAGAAAGTAGCATGACAGTCACAGCTCTGACCAGGCCAGTCCCATCACGTCACGGGCAGAGACCTAAGAGCGAAGCACAGGCTGAGAGCAGTCTGATCTGGAAGGATGATTAGGGTAAAGCAGCACCAAATGACATAGGATTTAACACAAAAGGCTAATAGAAGAAATTTAATTAAATTTACGTGTGGACACACATAAGCACAAAATGGGAAATAAGTAGTTGCAGTGAAAAAGTAGTAAAAATCATCCCGTGGCTTATCGTTAAGCACAGAAGAGATACATTAGCTGCACAGAACAATGATGGATTAGTATGTCAATGGTTGCGTGGCCACACTACCAGTGATCACTAAAACAAGTAAAATTACTCTGAAAAGTATGAACAAAAACCAAAAAATTTAACACCCAGCAAAATGAGGACATAAGGAGTAAGAACATTATTGTGACCTGTTATTTATAGAAATATTTCTTTGTCAAAATTTCAATTTACCTTAGAAAACTAAATTAACACGTTGTTACTAATTAATTAACCCAGTTAAGTGACTGATAATCGAAGACTCTGTTTTTCTTTTTTCTTAAGAAAAGCAAGGTGCCTTCAATATTGTGATATTTAGATTTAAAGCAAAAGCTGGCATCACAAATATGTAAAATAACAATTACTTTTTCCATTTATTGTTTAAAATAAGAAGACTTCTTACAACATGATCTTATGTGATGATTCTGAAAGCTACTTACATGAAAGGAGTACAGAAAAGCATTTTCATATGTCAGCCCCAAAAGAGTTAAGGTACCAACCAAAGTAACGTGTAAGGAGAGATTTCCCAGAACAAACCTTTTCTTTTTGACTAAAGAACCTTACTTTCAAAGCTAAAGGTCTTAAGAAAATAAACAGGAAAGCATTACCAAAGTTGTATGCTCTATTTCATTCCATTTATACCAGATTACAGCCTCCCCAACTTTCTTTGTTGTCTTATCACTCCAGAAATTAAAGGTTTGAGACCTCAAAGGGTATCGGAGACCCCAAGACAGAAGGATGTCTTGGATTACATTAAATTTCCTCCACATTTCATCTCAAGATCTTAAAGGACTCTTGGCCCCTAACCACCAGGCTGAAAGCAGACAGATGAAGCCTCCCAGAACTTTGTTTTAGAGGACAAATGGGAAAAAATAATAAAGCTAATTCAGCAATAACTGTCTTAAACAACTTAACAGCTTCGCTGCAAGCTGTCAAGAGTCACAAGCTTCCATTGCATTCGTGTTCTGTCAGTCTTCATAATCATTTTCCAAAGTTACCTTCCTCCTCTGAAGTCATTAGTAGATTTGGATTTAAGTCATATATATCACAGAAAAAAAAATATGTTCTTAGACGGGGTTCCACTAATTCTGGATTAATTATATGGCTGTGCATGTGAGCATGCATTCTCAGGGGTTATTTATCCTCCGGAAGAGGAGAGGGCCAGGCGGGAGGAAGGACGCGAAGTAAAGGAAACCCCAGCCTGTCAGGGCTGAACTCCACAGTGAGACTTCCAGCTGCGTGGAACGATCCTGAGAACAGTTTAAGCAATAAGGCATATGTAAGTGACCAGGTCTGTCTTACATCCTTCAAATGACATTCTTACCTCCCGTGTGACCATTCACACACATGTATCCAAAAATATGTTCTTAGAAGCCTCACTCTACCTAGCTCCGAAAACAGTGCAAGGCTGATCAATGTTTGTTGAACTAAATACAGGACTCAGGCCACAGCTACAATGGAAACAATCTGATGATTTGAAGGGATCTCCCATCACTCTCAACTTGCAGGAGGCAAAACTGTTAGACTAAACTCTTATTATTTGGCGGGGGGGGGGAGTTAATAGGGAAGATGTTTAATAAGGAAAGAAAAAAATATTCCAAAGTTTTGGTTTCTATACCTTGGCTAACAATTCTTTCTCCCTAGAAGATACCTCCCTCCTTGTAGAAATCTCAAATACAAGATGAGTCCAAATGACATGTTCCCCCAACCCCGGAGTGAGAATCTGTCTGACCTAGACCTGCCCATGTCATTTGCGACACACCAATTCTTGCTGATAATTATATACATGAATATGTATGTGTGTGTGTGTATAACACACACACACATACACATAGTTTATATATAGACAACACATATATATTCTAGTTCCTTAGTAACAGGGCTATCATTCTGTCTGACACAACACCTGACATGAAAACCACCTAACATAGTATCATGTGCCTTGCATACAGAAGGCTTGAGGAAATGTTTTGTGAATGAGCTCAACTGCAGGTTAGTATAGTCTAGAAAGACAATGCACAAATGCTTTATCTAAAAATAAGTTGTTTCATGTATTTGTTCTCACACATACTAGCAACTAAGCCGGGTGACATGCTCCGATCGTACAGGATGCCATGCATGTCCCAATTAAAAAAAACAAATCGGTGGTTGGAAAGAATGAACCTCAGGTAGGTTTCATCTCTAAAGTCTGTAAGGCTGTACCTTGTATTTAAGAGAAACCAATGGAATTTTTCTGAAAAGCATTCTATTGCATGTATACAGAAATCACGTAGTGACAGTGGAATGGATGTCGGGCAGCTTAAGAGCAAGAAGGCGGCATAGGGCATGTGGCTTTCCGACAGGATTACCAACCTCCTTTACATGCTGAAGGAATGGAAGGAAAATGTCAAAGCAGACTTCAAAAATGTCTGTGTGTATGTGTGTTTGTGTGTGTGTGTTGTTACACTATTTTTTCAACTCTTCTACAAGCTTGAAAACTGTCAAAATAGTTTAAAAAAATACCTTCACAACACCTATAAGGCAATACGTTCTCATCAGTGGAGGCTGTAAAAGAGAGTCTTTAAAAAAGACATACTTCTATGTTGAGATTGATGGAAAGAGTACGTTTTGCCTCTTTCTGGAGAGTAGCTTCTACTGCTGACACTGGAGCCAGATCTGCTGTGTGGAGAATCCTTCCGGCCTACAGGTGATTCTCTGAAAAAAGGAGCATCTCTTTTATGCGGAGACCGGTCTCTCACATAATGGGAAGAGTAGAAACTTTTTCTTCTAAAGTCCCTTTGAAGAAAAAATAAAATAAGTGAATAACAGCCTGTACCCTACATACAAACACAAACGGCAAAGCTCTGACTACAAGCTGCTCTTCAGGTTGTTGTCTTGGTTCTTTTCCTACGACTACAACTATCTTACTTTCAAAGTCAGTCCACAAAATGAAACTTTACCAGTGAAAAGTGATTTCGAATGCATCATTTTTTCAGTTTGGGGTTGAACCAGGTGATTAAGTGTTGAAAACAGTCATATAGTCCCTACTTCTGTTGTTCATTGACAATTTATCACACAACTACCATACTCTCAAAGACACCTACAGATTTGTCAAGTGAGACATTTCATGACCTTATTATCACCTATTGGTTTCAATTGATGCAATTTTTGCCTCCCATATAACAATCTGGAAACATCTACAATTTCTGTTGTCACCACCGGAAGGGGGGAGGGGGTGCCACTGATGCGCATCAGGGATGTGGCTAAAATCTTAACAATGCCCAGGACAGCTCACACACACACACACACACACCCCAAAACCTATGTGACCCAAAAGGTTAGGTTATTAACACCAAGGCTGAGAAACACTGGGATGCACCCATTAAATCCCTGCTCTCTGAGTTTGTATTCTTAGTGTACAGATTGCTGCTAATCTCTAAATACCAACTTTCTATAAATCACCTCTACTTTTATAAATTAAATTTATTAAGCAATATCAACTTAAAGCAGAGAGTAAGCCTGAATAGTAAAACTTAATAAAGCAAAACCAACTGAAAGAAATCAAAGCAAATCAAAACTACTTTACCATGAGCCTTTATTTAGAAGAACACTTGGAGTCAAACAGGTTTTAACTGAAGATTTAACAAGTGTACCTCCATACTAAAATTAAAGAACATTATTTTCAGACAGGAGACTGATAAGAAAGAAACCAATGGCATGAAATTTCAAATGCTTAGGAAATAATTTCAGCATGTCGATTGGCGGGAAGGGTGTTGTCATTAGCTTATTAATATTGAAAACATACTGTCCTTACAGATACAATTGTGTTTCTCTGGGAAAGAGCAGACAGCTAAAACTGATTTACGATGAATTCAGGCCAAATGCTAATACAGAAAGAAGCAATATATTCAAGTTCAATCACTAAAACTGTAAGTAATATCCACATCACTGCAAGCCAGAGTGGCCAGCTCTGTACCACGCAGGTTTTAGGAGCTGTACCAGGTGCTGGGGACCCAGCGGTGGACCAGATGCACACAGCCCCTCCCATTGCAGACCTCCCAGGCTCGCAGGAGAAGCTGCCACTAGGGCAAACATACACAGAACATAAATGTAGCTGGTGGTGCCCACAGAGAAGCCAACTAGAGCCTATCGCTCCAGGCAAGGGGCAGTGCTGGCGCACAGAAGGCGGAGCAGGGGAGAGGCCACAAAGTCCACAGGCACACAAACGCACCTTTGCGGAACCGAGGGGACATGGTGAATGTGTGACTAATGCGTGTGACAGACAGGATGCCAAGCCAACTCCCCAGATCCTGGCAACATGGGTTACTGAAATGAGAAAAACAGATTTGAGTAACTGGATGGGGTGGGGCCCACATCTGGACTTGAACATGTCAAGTGTGAGATGCTCATGTAACATCTTGGTCAGCAACTAGAGAAACTAGTGATGAGATCAGAAGAGTTTTTTTGGCTACAAGGGTAAGTTTGTCTATACACAGGCAGTATTTAAAGCCTTAGGTCTGGATGAAAACAAAGGACAACAACAGCAGAAGGCCCAGAATCTAGGACTAGAAAATCAACACACTGAGAAAGAAATGCCCAGTCCGAGAAGGCCACAGAATGGCCCAGGAAGCATGAGGAAAACTGGTCAGTCACCAGGGAAAGAAAGGGAAGACTGCTCCAAGGAGGGGAGCGAAGGCTTCCCACACAGAAGCTAAAGGCGCTCTTACTCAGGGCCAGAGAGGGGCACAGGCCCCCAGTCAGAGGAAAGGGCTCTTATTTTCAGCCAGGGAGGAGGGAGGGGGTGAAATGGTGAATCAGTTTCCTAATCCTAACACCAGATGGCGGCAAAATCGTAACAGCAGTTGAGAGCTGCGATCACAGCTCTGCCTACCTGCTGGGGCCCACAGACAATGGGCAGAAAGGCAGGCATGAGAATTCCTAAGAGAAACGTATATTCGTAGATGGAAAACCAATCTCGGGGCTTTAAGAGGTAAAATTTAGATCAGCATAGTCTAAAAGAAATATAATTGAGCCACAGATACAGCAGGCATATTTAAAAAGAGAAAGAGGAGAAATTAATTTTAGCAGTATTTTTTTACTTAACTCAGTATTTCCAAAACACAATCAACACAAAATCAATATTAAAGAAATCAGTGACATACTTTATTCTCTTTTTCATCTTAACAACTTGAAAATCCAGTGTGTACTTTATACTTACTGAATATCCCAATCCGAACATATTTCAAGGGCCAACAGGCACATTTGGCTAGTGGCTCCCACACTGGGCAGCAGAGATCTAGACGGGGGGAAGCATTCCAAGCCTCCAGAAGAAGCAGAGAGGGATTAAAGGCGACTATGGGCACAAGAAGAGAAGTCAGAACAGTGAAAACTTTGAAAAGCAGTGACTAAAAAGCAGAGGAAGACAAATGTGAAAGGGGAAGGACAGTTACTATACTGCAGAGGCTGCAACGATCTCTTGCATCTGAGAGCTGGGCATATCCTGCCTAGTGCAGGGGCTGCCCAGTGAAACCAAGGCAGACGGGAAGAAATCAAGATGCTCAGGGACTTACGCCATTACTTTTCTTCCAAAAAAAGTTTGGAAAAGCCAACAAGGGAGAGCACCGGGATACTGTTCTGAGGGAAGGGGCTTACTCCATCCTGTCTGGAGACAGGGAAAGGCCAATCCACCGCAGGGAGCAAGCGATGACCCGAGGCGCAGATGGGCCAACACGCAATGGGAGGAAGTCAGACAAAGGACCTGCGTAAAAGAGAAGGGCTCTGAAGGAGAGAACGAGAAGAGGACAGAGAGAGACTTGCATATGAAGACAGAAGAAGCCTCTCCCCAGAAGGCCTCTGCCTGGGAGGAGCAGTTCCAGGAAGGAACCGAAAGCAGAGGAGGTGAGGAGTGAGCAGACGCCTGGGGCCGACTGAAGTGCTGGTGGGGGGCCTCTGGGGGACAGCCACGAATGAGAGCAGTGCTCCCCACAGGGCAGCTTTGGCCTGCCAGGAAGGTGACAAATGCAAATTCAGGGGCACCAGACCACACCTACTGCATTGGAATCTCTGAGGGTGTGACCCAGATTTCTGGGCTTCAAGCACGCTCTTCAGGAGACTGTGATGCCCGCAAAACTTGAAACCTCACTAACCTGCAAAAGCTCTAGGTAAGTACATTATCTCAGAGTCAAAAGCAGCATTTCAGAGCTCACGACAGAGGCAGGACAATTTCCAGTGATGATTCTAGGGTTTGGCCAGGCCTGCGGATACCTGAAGGTAAGAGCCGAAAAATGGATAAAGAACTGGTGCTAAAAGTCATCATCATATCAGGACAGAGGAGGGTAGAGGAGGAGGCTGTGAACCCAAAATTGTAATTATTAAGGAAGAAGGATGTGGTCCTGGAAATTTACCCAGGAGCACAAAAATGAGGATGGGGTAGATGAAGTGGAGATATTCAAAGATGTCGCAGGAGTGGCTTGGAGAAGGTAATGAAGAGTAAGACATATGCCCCAAACGCATCTCAAGAATCAAAGAATTAGGCGGCTAGTGAGCTGTGAGAGAAGCGGGTTCACCCCGGAGCAGTCAGCGCCCAGCTGCAGAAGGGGTGGAGGGAACGGCAGGGAACATCTCCACTCTGTTCCCTGAAGGACTCCACTCGACTCTGAAGGACAAAATCCTGCCCTCAGGAAGCTTACAAACCGGTGGGGAAGACAGCCTGTGAATCAAACCCTTCTGACAGGTAAAGAAAGGCACGTGTGAGGGGCGTTATTTCAGGCAGGATGGTCAGGGAGAACCCCTCTGAGGCGGTGATACACGGACAGAGATGTGACAAAGGGGACGGGACGCAGCATGGCACGAGGGTGGAGTTTACGCTTACGATGGGCAGTCTAGAGCTTTGGGAGGCAGGGTGTGCTGGTGGGAAGGGTCTACCATCAGCCAGACGGCCTTCCTGTTGTTTATAAAATAATGGATCACCAAAGTTTCCGATACACTACCAGCCCTGCTTAGGGCTCAGAGGCATCACCTGGCGGAAGGAAAGGAGATCACGGCAGTGTTCAAGGTCCTCTGTGAACGAGCCTCCCAGGTACTGAGAGACCCTTCCAGAGTAACTATTATCTTTATGACCTTGAACAAGTTACTTAATCTCCCTTTGCCTTAACTTCCCCATCTATAAAATGGGGGTAATAGTAGTCACCTACCTTAGAGGGTCACTACAAGGAGTGAATGAATGGGATAATGTATGTACAACACTTAGAAAAGAAAGCTCTCAGTAGGTATGGGCTGTTTCTACTAATAGTATCACCTACTATCATCTACGTTAAATCAGTAAAAGGTTTCCAGCAAGAATTTAGCTAAGTGCACCGTTACAACTGCTCAGTGGTTTTGGCCTTCAGAAAAGCAAACTACGGATTCTCGCATACTTCTCAGAGTTTAAATCCCACGAATACTTACATAATAACAAAACCTCTAGAACAAGAGTCGAGCTTCACTCCCCAAGGAGGCTGCTTTACGGAGGAGGGGCCGCGGAGAAGTCACCGCCAGGACGGTCGGCCCGGAGCCCCTCCGCAGACGAGGCCGCACGACGCGGGGGGCAGGCGGGACGGGCAGCACTGACCCGGGGACAGCCCCCCGCCGCCAACGGGCAAATGGCCTCCGTGGCGACTCCCCGGCACCCAGGGGCCCCGGGCACAGAGGCAGGCGGCGGCCCGCAGCCCGCCACCTGCCTTGTTGGCACAGTTCCGGGCCACCCCAGTTCTCACGCAGTTCAGTGAAGAAACACAGCTTCGTGTTTCTAACAGAATACACAGGCATGATGGCTTTTTCTGCCCAACCCGTTGCCAATAGATTTTTCACTTTTAGAAGCTGTATTTGGAGGCAATTACATGATGACAGAAACACATTTTGCCTATAGTTTCTTATAATAAAAGGCCTTTCTGAGAATATGTTTCACAGAATACTGATCCTGGAGATGTTGGTACTTTTCATCTCGCCACAAAACCAAAAGAGGTTCTCTGGATAAATAAGTCCGGGAAACAGTTTAATAAAATTAAGCGCTTTTTACAGCGGCACTTCTCAGAGCATTCCTTGCCAACAGACACAGATTCAAAAATTAGTTCACCTGCTTATTTATGGCTTTGTGACCTTAATTTCTCTGAGCTTCATTTTCCTAACTTCTCTGAACACAGAAATCCCACACACAATGAATAAATATATCTTTTCAGTTTTACTCTTTTCATTGTCCATTATCTCATTTTTAACCTTCCCCCAAACAAATATGGACCCTCAAGTTTTAAAATATTTTACCTTAGAGACAATTTGGGGAGGACAGTGATCAAGTCCCTTCTTACATCATTTAAGTATCATGGTGACAGAAGAAAAAGACCCCTCAAGAAAAAAAATGCTAAATAATATAAGCATATAGGAATAAACCATTTTCTATCAAAATGCTGAGTTTTAAACTACATGCTAAAAAGGCTTCTGAAGTTAAAAATTACAATCAGATTTAAAACAAATTTCCAATTAAGGGGGAAAAGTCCAACATCAATGGCAGTCTTGAATATTAATGTTTAATAATTTAATGAATGCTGACAAAAATAACTAAATAAGATGAATGTGCCAATGAGAGAGAGCTGAAGAACAGGAAGATAATTCAGTGGAAGACAAAGACAGGTATCATCTCATTAATATTTAAGATAATCTGTTAAATTTTCCCTATCAAACAGGGAAATGATCCCATCCAATAGGCACAACGAGGGTAAACAGACCCATATGCTTCATCGAGAACAATCAACAATTTGGGCTGGGCAGGAAATTGCTTGGGACTTAACTGTCCTAAAATGGGAGACACTACTCTAGTCCACAGAATGGGTTTTCCACCCAGAGAATACCAGCCAGGGACGCAAACATACTTTCTGGCTATAAAATGCCCCTTTTACGTGATTAATGGGTTTTTCTTTCCGTCCACATACAGATCTGTACGTACCTGGCTTTTTTCTAGGCTCAACTGAATGTCACAAAATGGTGTTGAACACTTTGAATTCCTTCCTTGTCTTAATATAACAACTAACTGTTGAAAATAGTTTGCACTTGGTTTGAAATGTCAACTGTGAGAATTTCTATCTTTGAGGGAAAAAAGAAGGGATTCTCAACAATCCACTAGTCCATAAACAAGGTGGGCACCGGGACGTTCACCAGTGCTGACTCTCCTCGCAAGGCTAACAGGCGCACAGCAGCTCTGTGAGTGACGGTGGGCGCTCCGCAATACTATTTCGTACTTGTGCTTGTGATGTGAGTTTTAGGAAACAAGTTCTAATTTTCTTAAATTTTTTTCTCTACTACAATTTATGATAAGTCTAGGTAAAAATGGATATTCAAAGGCTTAGATTTTTTTAAATTAAAACAATATAGCAAGGGTAAAATGAGCAACCTTGTATCATAACCTAACACCTAAAGACCCTCTCACAGACTTACTTTTAATTCTTTGGCACAATAACTAATGAGAGAAGGCAGTAAGTTTTTAAAGCATATAATTCACCAGAAAATCAATAATACTTTCATTAGTAAACTTATTCCTAGTCAATTCAGTAGGAACTTTTTCCAGGCTTTTCAGATATTTTTTCTGTAATGTGATTATACTGCTTTTATTATGGAAACTCTTAAAACTTAATTTTATTTAACAAGACATTCACTTTTGAGCTTTTTTTTTTCATTTATAGTTCCTATGCAAGTGGAAGACCAAACATTTCAATTATTTAAAAAAACACTTTAACCAACTTATTATAAACAACTTAGTGTTTTCCTTGACATGTCAATAATTCCCCCAACTTTATTTAATATTTTAAAAGATAATTTATCTCCCACTGCTCAATGCCACCTTCCCCCATTCCACTTGGTCCCCCCAACATCAACCTTCTAACGTAGTAAGAAATCTGGGTGGCTAATATTCTCCCTAGTAATCAGCAATACACTACACTGCAGAGAGGAAAAGCGACCTGTATTTACAGCTCACTGTGCTTATCATGTGACTGGTACAGCTATCATTCATTCCTACTCTGAGATTCTGATAACCTAAATGCAAACACTTGCTTTTCCAAATTATGAACACAAAAAATACTCAAAATACATGCAAGAATAAAAAAGGATTCTATATCCTCACTATATTACTGGTTCTCAAACGACAGTGATTTTTCTCCCAGTGGGACACAACACAATGTCTGAAGACATGACATTTCTGACTGTCCCAAATGGGGGAGTATCACTGGCATCGAGTTGGCAGAGGCTACGGATGCCACTAAACACCCTGAATGCACACGACTCACCTGTGCCCAGCCATAAAGAACCATCCAGCCCCAAACTGAAATAGATAATACAAATGCAAACACACCCAGAAATTTAATCTATCAGTTTCTAGAGCTTTCTTGGAACCACCTAACAATTCTAAAATGTTTCTTTATAGCATTTCTAACATCAAGTATTAAAATTCCTTCAACTCTCCTAAACATTCAAATTATGTATTACATTTTCAAGTCAAGTATTTTCTACTCTATTTTTAATATCTTAATTCACATACAGTCCAATACTGAAAAGCATAGGCTCTGGAACAATTCTGCCAGGGTCCAAATCCTGGCTCTATCACTTGTTCACTGTGGGAGCAGCCTGAAGTCACCCGCCCTCTCTGCGCCCACTTCCTCATCTGTGAGGGGGGGTGACGGACTAGGAGGGAAAACGCCTACCGACACACATCAGGATGACTTCACACGGTGACTCATTGACTCTAATTCAGAAGAAAAAGAAAAAAAGCACTGACAATACCAAGTGTTGCCAAGGATGTGAAACTGGCACCCATGTGCCTTGCTGATGGGCTCTGAATGGGTACACAGCTGCTAGCTCTCAGCCCACACGTCACTCCCTGAGTAACAGTACGCATCGCCTTGGGTGGCCAATCACACCGCATGATTCACAGCCCTGGGGCTGGTCATGTGCATGTCGGGCAGGCCAAACACAGACAGCAAAACGTGGTTCTGCTGCCTTCTGTCTCCCGGGGACAAACCCACAGGATATTTTACAGAAGTGGGTAATTGAAAGACAGTGGTTCAAAGACAAAAATGCAGCCAAGCAACAAAAAGTGATAATGGTACAAGTTTAATTCACACTGAATGTAAATAGTAACAGAGGAACAGCTGACCGAGGAAAAGCTGACGGTGCTGCCTTTCCAGAGACACCAGATGAGCTGAGCAGCCAGAGAACTTTGTGCAGGCAAGCCCACCACCGTGAGGGAGGGAGTGACTGTCTCAGGAGGGAGGGGCCAGCAGGAACTTCACCCTGCAGAGGCTCTCAGAAATTTCACAATGAAAAGGCAAAGGGTAAAATGTTGGAAACTGACCCAGACTTAGAACGGAGTACAATTCACCAAGGCATCAAGAAGACGCTTGCTCCATTTCTTAAGTTAGAGGACGAAAGGGGAGCAGGCACTGTTCAAACTATCATTTCTTACCAAGAAATAAGACTCTAACTCTCAACGTTTCTAATGTTTTAAATCATAGTGTACTAAATATTAGTCTTACCATTTTTTCATTTTCTTAAGACACTTATGACAAGAGAAGTTAATTTAACATTTTCACAATAAATTTTAACTCACAACAATTATAATTTTTCCCATTAACTATGCAGACTGCTTTAAGTCTAAGTGATGATGACCCTTGGGGAGGATGAACAATCTAACTGACCAGGGGCATGAGAAAGCTTCTGATGCAGGAATCACTCTACTTGTTAGCCTGGACTACGGTTATCTTACGGTAATCCACTGGGCTGTACAGCTCGATTTGCATACTTAACGTATGCTATGTGCTTTAAGTGTTTATTTTTTTCAAGTGCCCATTTTGCTCTAAAAATGTGATATTTAAAAATATAGCTCCTTATCATTTAACATGATCTGAAAGGTATTTTAAGAAAGTAAATAGAACTTTGATCTCTGATTTTTTTCTTTTTAATACTTATTTTAAGGAAAAACAAATTGTAAGACCAACTGTTGTCTGAAAATCATTAATACATTTTAATGATTCCTTTCAAACACCCAAATAGTCTCGCATTACTTGCCAGACCCGAGAGAAGTCACCCTTTATCGACCAGCTGCCAACACGTCAGGCCGTCTTCCCAGACGAGCGCCAAGGAAGCCGCGCGGCAGGACTGAGCTGCTGCTGCTCGGGATGTTCCGGCTACAAAGGCAGATCTTCCAAGATGCCTTGACCGTGAGAGCAGATCATCCAACCTTTATGTTGCTGTTATTTTTTCTTTATTCAGAAAAATCCTATACCTCAACACAGCAATTCTTAAACATCGACATCATTTCCAAATACTGTGATTCTCTGCACCCAATCTGCAGGTAACGTCAGTAAAGAGATTCAGGGACAATCTTATAAATAAAACTTTTTTAAACAATCCTTTATAATAAAAGATTAAGTTTAAAGATATTTCCCCCCATAGTTTTTCTTAAATCTTTGAGGCCTGCTAGTATATCTTATGCAACCAAATGCTATCAAATGACTAATGAACAAATAAACAGAAAATAATCACTAATTGAAAATTTCAAAGTCTTCCATTGTTCTTGGTTTAACAGCTTGTATTTCTGTGCATTCATTTACAGTTTTAAATCTATACTATATATTTAATAGACATTTTCTACTCATAAAATTTGACATATTACTCAAAAAATATTTGTATTTCATAGAGTTCAAGCCAAAGATACAATTATTTAAGGATTTACTCCAATTTTTGCAACTTGAACAAAACACCACTGCTACATCCAAATACTTCTTCATCCAAAAAATAACTCCAACTAACTTGACTGAAGAAAATCTAGAAAAACTGGATGGAGTGTTTTCGTCTCAGCACTCTGCCGGAGTCATGAGCGAGCTGAGAACGCAGCCTGTAGGTGCAGAACCCATACGCCCGAGCGGCCAGAAGCCCGGCGAGCTGGGCCTTGTCTTCCTGAGCTGCTTCTCCCTCTGTCTGCCCACTGCAGATGCCGCAGCTCAGAGGACGGAATGCTGAGAAATGACTGACAGCTTCATAGGATCAGGACATAAAACCGAATCCAGATCTTACCATGGAAAGAGGGCTGAGACCCCACAGGGCGACACAGTACAGCAGGGTGAACCAGAAACGGACGAGCCTGGACTCATCGGGCCCAAGTTCCTTAGGGTGGCCCTAGACGGCTAAGGACTGTGACATTCTGTTTGCACACAGTACTGCTGCCTGAAGGACAGCACTGTTACTGAAATACAGTCCTGTCGTACAAATTAAAAACAAAGCCACATATGCAACTGTCATTAAGTACTTGAAATGTAAAATATGAAATCTCCATATTGTTACTGCTTTCTAAAAAAGATTAAAAAGGAAAAAATCTGATTGACAGAAATATCACAGCTTTATTCATACTATTTTTATTTTAAAATGTATTAGTCCCAACACTCATGAGTAGCTATTAAATTTAATCAGTATCAACTACCATAGTTTTCTCAGTGCAACTATCACCTGGTTCTAAGAAAGAATTTTGGTTTTTGTTTGTTTTAACTATGACCCTAAAGCATGCTGAATAGCACAATAGGATAAGGGAAACTTAGGCACATTTTAAATGTCATTCCATGAACCACAGGGTAAAACTCTGCATTGCACGAGACAAAGTTCCATTTACCATGCAAAGAAAACTTTATATCAAAAGCCTTCAAACTACAGGGCTTCCATCTATGTAGAAAATGAGGATATCAACATACATGATATGATGGATTCAAAAATGAATTATAGATCAAATCAAAAGAGGCTTTGAAAAAATCTAAATAACAGTACGACTGGAAAGAACAAAACAACAACAAATACATATTTACCTCAACTGATGCTTTTTATTATGAAAAAGTATTTTACTTGAGAGGCAGGACAGTGTCCTTGCTGTACCACCACCATCTCAGCCCTAACGCTGGGCACGCACAGAGGCAGCTGCCTGGAGGATGGGAGATGGGAGGAACTACCCCCTATAAGGCCTTGTTTTTCAAAATGGGGTCCTGGGACCATCTGCACTACAGTTACTTTGGATGCTGGTTTAAAATATGATTTATGGAGCTCAGGATTCTCCCCAAATATGCTCCCACCTGACCCCAAGCACTCACTTACATTCCAAGGTGACCCGCAGCCTCCACACCAGTCCCGCCAGACAAGTCATGCCCTCAGTTTCAGCAGATGTATGTCTACCTGCTACGAGTAAACATCACTGAAGCAAGAGATAAGGTTATGAGGGGGAATCGGAAGGAGAGAGAAAGCATTTCACTTCTTATTCAGGACCTCATTTTTCTTTTCTTCCCACAACCAACACACAATATTGGCTACTTAATTTCTAGTCAACAGGAACTTTAAAAAAAGAATTAAGATTTCTGGAATCATTTTGAAAAAGCAGTTTGGTAACGAGCAGGGCAAACCTAAAAGAATTCTAGGCATGAGATACAGACTGAGAGATGTCCCGAACAGAACTGCAGATCTTATCTATGTTAGCCACCATCTGATCTCTAACACCTGAAATAGTGCCTGTTCTCAACAGAGGCAAAATATGCCTAAATTGCTGTAACAAAAATACCAAAAAATGTAACGTTGAGTTATTACAAAAGAATTTACTCTAACTACCACAAAGAGTCTAGGGGAGGCCTTCCAGGGTGAGAGAGACTGCTCCGGGCAATCATCCAAGAACCCAGGCTGACCACAGCTCTGTTCCAACATGCGGCTTCCAAGGTCACATGTCCACTGTCACTCCACTCCAGGACCCACCCTGCAACTTGGGAACTTGGGAGAAGATGAACATGTGTGACATGTGTGGAAGAGCACACAGACACAGAACTCCTAGTCACGTTACACGAGGGACAGTCACATGACCATACCTAGCTGGAGAACATGGCCCACCTTCATGCCAAAGATGTGTAGAAAAGAGGTACAAGTGTTTTCAAGGATATACTTCATTTCAATGAAAAGTCTGGGATTCCCAAGTGAAAATGTGCCTAACAGGCAGCTGGATATAGAATGTACAGCTCAGAAAAGAAGCCAAGGCTACACATAGAGCCTGTCCATTATTAAGACCTGAGGAGTCGAACTTCGGTCTCTAGATCCTCTGAATCACGATCATCAGGATGCTTGGGAGAAACACCGATGCAAGTCCCACTTACCGACCTCCTCTAGAGGCTCTCGTTTTCATTCCCACGACACCGTGTAGTTTAAAAAATACACCATGAATTAATGAATGAATCATTACATAGATATTGCCCATGAACAAGTTAGATCTTACCTTGCTATAGCTACATCACATTTACAAAATAACTAGAACCACAAATAATTGGAATCTAGGTTTTAATTTAAAAAAAGAACTAATGAATATAACAGCATGAGCACACACACACACAATAAAATATTAAAAAGTGTTGGTGAAGATGTGGAAAACTGGTACCCTCATACATCAGTGGGAATGTAAAATGGTGCAGTTTGTACATCGGTGGGTGCAGCCACTATGGAAAACAGTGTGCGATTCCTCAAAAAGCTAAACATGGAATGACTCTATGACCCAGCACTTCTACTGCAAGGTGTGCACCCAAAAGGAAAACAGGGACTCAAAACAGACGTTTACACGGCTATGTTCACTTACAATGGCCAAAGGTAGAAACAACCCAAATGACCACTAGAGGATGCATAAACAGAATATGGTCTAAACATACAACGGAACGTTATTCACCAATAACAGGGAACAGAACCCTGACAGGCTGTAACATGGATGAACCTTGAAGACACTTAGCTAAGTGAAAGCCGGACACGAGAGGACAAACACTGTGCAATTCCACTTACAGGAAATGCCCACAGTAAGCAAATCCATAAAGACAGGAAGTAGAAGGGTGGCTGCCAGGGGCTGGGGGTAAGGGATGGGCAGTTACTGCTTACCAGGTACATAGCTTCTATGTGGAATGGTGAAAAAATATGGAATTAGACCTGGTGGTTGCCCAACATTATGAATATAATTAGTGCCAGTGAATTGTGCATTTAAAAATAGTTAGAATGGCATACCTTATGTTACATATATTCCATCACAACAAAATACTTGTTAAAAAACACCGAAGCTGACTTGCAGGGAGTCTCACTGGCCAAAACCAGGCATCAAAAGAAAGATGGCAACGGTTCAGAACACGCTGAATAAAATAAGAGTCCACACTGATATAAAAAAGTTTTGTTGTTTCTAAAAAGGAGTGCAAAGAAGAGAGAGCTCTCACTTACAACAAAATGCTTGCATAGTATAGACACAACAGTAATCACAAAATCACCTATTAGAAACCAACGTAATAATTCAAGCAAGAAACATCAATGAATGCTCAAACTAGTGGGTGAAGGTGGGATGAAGAATGGCATCACTACATAGTTTCAAAGTAGCCCCCCATAAAACACATGAATGAGGGGGAAGGAGGCTCACTTCCCAGCGAAGGAATTCTGCAGCCCCACCTCAACCAAGTGATGAAAGTCCACAATGCCACGAGGGGACAAATTAACGCACGTGACCTGACAGGGCGCTGTAAGAAGAAGCCAGCTTCACTTCAGGGACTGTCCTGGCAAAAAGGCAGAGCGTGGATCTTATCAGGGAGAAACATCAAACAAGCCTAACTTGAGAAACATTCTACAGAACGTGTGCCCTGTATTCGCCGTGCCAGAAACAGTGAGCGGCGGAATTCAGGGGAAGACTGACGGACACTTCCAGATCAAAGAAGTTCACAAAAATATGACCTATGAACTCCAACTCGGTCTTTTCGCTATAAACCACATTTTAGGGGTGCTGCTGGTGACAGTGATGGGGTCTCAGGTCAAAGTTACAAGTTCTTGAATTATTCTTGCAACTTTTCTATGAATTTAAAAACTGTTTCAAATAAAATGTTTTAAATGTTCTAATGCTTTCTTTCACGACAAAGATTGTGTGTACCGCACTGACAAAAACAGGAACACTGACTGTCACGGTTTTCCTAATTACTCAGAACCTTATTCTCTAGCAATACACACAACTACTCTCTGCCTGTTAACAATGTAGTGATATCCCCCCTCCCAACAACAGCTATGTTCTATTCTCACGTCTTTTAGGCATAAACTCTTCAGTGACGCCCCCTGATAGAGGACTTAAACACAGTAAGATGACAGCCAGTAAAGGCTGTGGCTTTTGTGATGGCCTGAAACCTGAGATATTCCTGGGACCCAGACAGCAAGTCAAGGTGCAGGAAGATGTGAAGGAGAAGCCCTTTCTACTGTACTCCCCTGCTTTACTTTCTTCATAAAAATTACTGGCCTTGTTTTTTTAATCTGTTTACCATCTATGATTCATACTAAAATGTAGGTTTCCTAAGAATAGAAGCTTTTTATCCTCAGAGGCTAGAAGAGAAGCTGACATTTAACAGTCACACAGTAAGTATTTATCAAATGATAACAGAATGAAAGCTATACCCCTGAAAACAGACTACACCTTGTTTTAATGCCCTCAGTAAAGAAAGCTGGTCATCCAATGAACCATTAATGACCAATGAGTTTCAAACAGCACAATAAGAGTACAGGCAACATCCTCCAATTACAGAGTAACTAAGATGTATTATGTCAGAATCAGCATAAAATTGCTATATATCAGAATCTTTGGGATACAGCTATATAGCAATGCTTAAAGGAAATTTCAAAACTCATATTAATAAGAAGGAAAGAAAACTAAATATCCAAATTAAAACATTAAATTTTTTTCAAAATGGTATGTTAAAACCTTTTAGAAGACAAACTGAAAACATCTATTACCATGTAAAATACATATGCCCTTTGACCCAGAAATTCCACTTTTGGCAATCTACCCACAGAAATTAAAGACAACTATGTACTTGGATTTATTACAACACTGCTTTGTGCTGGAAACAGAGTGAATATTCCTCAACAGGTAAACAACTCAATTATTTGGTATATTTGTCCATTAAAAAGATTCAAATTAAAGTTAAACCAAATAACTTGGAGAGATTTCCACAAGCCACCAAGTGCAAAAAGCAACTTAGAGGAAAAAAGTATGTATAACACAATCTCAACAAATGCCTCAAATGTTTATGAATATAGAAAAAATATATAGGAAAACATATACCAAGCTATTAACATGGCTGTAGGGACTGAAGAGTCACACATATTTCATTTATGTAAAATTATACACAAAGAGGAAACTATAAAATGATAAAAAAGACAGGAAGATAAATTAAAGATAAAAGCAGAAACTGTTATTTAAAAACTGAAAAACAATAGAACTAAAATAAACTTAAGAACTGTTTCCTTGAGGGAAATAAAAGCCGTTAGCTAATCTAGTCAAAAAGATTTTTTACACTTTTGCTTTCAGTTTGGCTCAATACCATTTATTGAAAAGTTCGTTCTTTCCCCATTTGATTTGTAATGACACCACTGCTATAACCCGGACTCCTGGATGGATCTAGGCTTTTTCTAGACTCCCTGGTTCTGTTTCACTGTTTCCATTTCCACAGCTTTATAAGTTTTGGTAAAACAATATATTGAGTCTTTACATCTTTTTCAAGGCTATTTTGCCATCTGGCACTTTACTCCTCACATTAGTTTTAGAATCAGCTTGCAAACTTCCATGCAAAAAAATAATCCTGGAATTCAGACTGGATGCAGACTGGATTCACACGTGAATTTGGGGAGAACTGAATCCTTATGAAACTGTCTCTTTCCAGTCAAGGATATCACCTATGTGCACTGTTCCTTTTAATCAGGTCTTTTATAAATGACTTAGAACTTCACCTATGTAGATCTCACACATTTTTGTTAAGATTTATTCCTATTATTCCTTATAGTTTTTATGCTATAGTGAATATTTTTAAATTTATGCTGAAAATAGTTGATTTTGTTTATACTGAACTTCGCTAATTTCATAATAGTCCTAACAGTCTATAAAACTCTCTTTTAAGTTCTCTGCATAGATAACTGAATCAGCTATACGCAGTTCTGCTCCTTTCACTCGAGCCCTTATGCCTCTTCACCTTTCCTCCTCTGCGGTGGGGCGACACCTGCGCTAACATGACAAACACAACAAGCAGGGACGGCAGGCGCCGCTGCTTTGTTCTGATTTCAGAGCACGCGTCTGAGTTCACTACTCAGCGCAGCAAACGCCTGTGTATTAGATAAAGGAAATTCTCCTCCATTCCTAGCTTGCTAGAAGTTTTATGTAGCTACTACATTAATTTTAACACAGTAATTGAATTCTATCAAAGTATTTTTCAGCATCTATTCCCTTTTCCGCTTCTTCAGGGAGAGGCAGTCTGCCGTGAGTTCAGAATGTCCCTGCACATCTCTGCCACATACACCACACTGAACACTTAACCATCCACTGACTGCAGGTCAAGTGGCTGCGGCTTAACTGTGATGACTGCTCACTCCCAGCCAAAGGACTGGCCTGCTTCCTGCTTGCTGTGAAAGGTAGGAAGCCCCCGGACCTGGGTGCCCCAGCAGCAGTGCGCCCCACGGTAGGCATGGCCACCATCCCTGCCCATCCCGTCCCATCACTCTGGAGGCCTTGGGGGCTGGGAAGCGGCACTACCATGCGACGCCCCTGGCGACCCCTGTGCTGTGACTGATCAACCACATTGCTCTGCCCACTCACTCTTGTCTACCTGTGGCACCTAGGACCCTGCAGTCAACTCCTTGCATTCTCCATGGGTCATCTTCCGACTGTTCGAATGACATCTTTAAAGGTTCCTTTCATAACTTCCGATACTATCATTGTAAAGTCATTAAAAAAAATTTATCTGGTTAAATCTGTCCATCTTATTTTTTTTCTAACTATTCTATCAGATGCCTCTGTAAGTAACCAAAGCTAACAATGATCGAGGTCCTTCCAAAATGTGTTTTCCCAACAGAACTTTATTGATCAAAATAAAGCAACTGAGAGGACACTGTATTATATATACATATGGCAACATATATGTATTTTGCAATAGGAGACCCTTTGTAATGATTCAAATATTGTGAAAAAATGCCTTAACCTTCTAATTAAGCAAACATATGCTTTTTAATTTATACTACACATTAATAATTTGATTAATTGATAAGACTATATCACTAGTTCAAATACTTTCCAATATATATTTTATTACCACTTACAAAATGCTGATACAGAATACTATTAGCATTGTTCTATCACATAGCCATAAAAAGAATATAAAGCTTTTTGCTTTCAAAATTTTAAATCCTAATAAAAAATATTTCATCTATGTGCCTACCTTGAGGTTACATTTCAAAGCAGACAACTCAGTGAGTCAAGTACCTACAGTTACGCTATGACTTCCACTTCTTACCTGTATTCAGGCTGTCGGCCTACAGAATGATCATCTCTTGTCCACCTGTAGCCAGACTCATCCTGTAAAATAAAAAAAAAAAACTACTTAGATACTTGTTTACATTATTTGGTCAAGCAGGATATATCTAACAGTACTACTGGAAACTAGTTTGTAAGACAAAAATAATACTAGGGTAAAAACACCTTTCTAAATTTCTGAGCTTCAAAGGCATAAAAAGAAAAACGAGAAAGTCATCTTTTTCAACAAGTAATTCAGTAGACTGAGAACTTACATGGCTCACTAGACCCGAGAACAAACTCTTGGTGTTTCCTGACAGACCCTGACAGCCTTATAGCCGAAGACACACACCAGCGTCGCCACAGCAACAGGCTGCACAAGAGCAAAGGCCTGATTTAAACATACAGTTCTAGCCCTTTCATTTTGCTTTCCTTCTGTCATGTTCTCTTCCAATTTTCAGATTCAAGGTTAATGGAGAATTTGCTACTTTCCTACTTTTTCTGTTAAAGTCTTCTTTTCTCATCTTAGCTCCCACTAGAAACCAGAATTGAAACAATCTAATAAGAAACCATCACTTGCTGAAAAGCTCCATTAGAGCAAGATGTGGTACTAAGCTTACAATTAATCAAAGAAGGTACATTTTGTCCTCTAAAACACATTTCAAAAGGTGCTTAAGAACAAACTACATAGCAATCCATACCCAATTACTTTTAAATTATACATAGAATAAAATACGTAAATTACTTAGGAGAAATAGTAATTTAACTAAAATAAATACTATCTCCATCTTCATACCCAACTCTTCTATAAGTAAAACATATTCAGCATTTTCCTTCTCAACATTAATCAAACAAAATTCAACAGCTGTACTGTAATAAAATATTGAACCAAGAGGTTTGCTTTATGCAATTGAACTCTAGATTAAGTGTCATGAGAGTCCTACGATCTCAAGTTGGCTTGTTTGTTTGAAGAGAATTTAAAAAGAAAATGTTGTGTAAAGTATGAACAAATACAACTTGTGACAATAATAGAAAAAAACTATGGTTAAGGCACTATGATGTTATAAGGTTTTCCAAAGAAATCATGTTTGGGAGGATTCAAATGCAAACTGGTTCGATGAATCCAAAATTCTGTCTATACTAAATGGTCACAGGGTTTTCATAAGAGGGACAACTTAGTGTGAAAGCCAAATTGTTCCTTCCTAGACTGCCTGGAAGACTGGCTTTGAAGGCAAAATCCAGTATTTTTAGAACAGAGATAATGCATAATGATTATTTTTCAACATCAAATTCCCCTTCCTAAAGGAATGGCATGACACTTTAAAATCAAACAAAATTAGAGTCAAGTCTATGAGAAGTAAGCTGTAACACCTCAAACTAAGAAACCATTGAATAGTTTTTCATTACTACTTTATAATTGTCAAGAGTCACTGTGCTGTAGTAAGAGAACTGGAGTCCCAGCCATACCCACCCTGGGTCAATCACTACCTCCATTTCTTCAAAGGTCAAGTACAGGAACTAATTCCAATGGCCAATGTGAGGTCAAATTTTATCACAAACAATGCCTGAATATGCACTGTTAATTACAATATCATGTATTAGGGAAGGGGGAAAAGGAGAAAATGCAGGGAAACGGTCTAGCAGAGGAATTCTGTAAACAGGCAAGTTAGTTCAAAGGAACCGCAGCAAGGAGCAGTTTAGATCAAGTTCAATGACAGATTATATACTGAAATATTAAAAACATCCACATCATTAGAGATGACCAAGAGAAACAAAATATAACAGCAATAGTAATAATAGCAGCCCACAATAGAAAGTGCTTACTATAGGACAGGCAGTCTCTGAGGGCTCTCTTAGTAGACTTTCATAATGAGTATAACGAAAAAATGAGACTGAGTCTCAACAACCCTAAGCCAACCTCACCCACAGCTCTTCATCATGATGAAAGTGACCAAAATAACCGCAAGTGGGCACACCCTCGAGGTGGTAACCACCTGCCCCTCAGGTGCTGAGTACCAAGGTCATAAATAGATTACTTTCACCTTCTTTTACAAATACTTGCCAATGTAGGGGATAAAAAAAACAGGCCGGTTGGAGTCAATGTCAGACAGAGCTATCCAGAGTGGCTTGCCCGCTTCGCCCGGCACCCGAGACCCCTGACCCCCCGCCTCCTGGGACAGCTCCGGCAGGAAGCGTGCAGCCAACCGCCCTCGTGGCCGGCCACGTAGACTTCAAACGTACATGACTTTTCAAATGTATAAAATACAACAGTGAGTACACGGGGAAATTTACATACTCTGTGAGGCGGACCACTTCTTCGATCATGAGAGAGACCGCGGCCCTCATACTCCCGGTAATCAATGTGGCTATAAAACCTGCTCGCGCCTCCCTCGCCAGGCCTGTCCAGCAGTGGTGGTTTCTTTGGTATGATATTAACTACCCTGTGGTAGCCTTCCTAAAACAGACAAAAGGAGGTATGTAAAAATCACTGACTTCACCATTTGGTTTTGGAAAGGTTTTTAAAAGGTACAGGAGTTCTTATCCTTAATCAAATAAACACAGAAACAAACAAAAATGCACTACTGAAGTAACATGAATATAACTAACAGTGAGGTCTTCACATGAATTAAAGGAATTGAAATAACTGTTCAATGAAAAAGCTAGGTGTTTAAAATAACATGCAACAAAGCAGAAAATCAATCGTAAGTAAAAGAAAAAACACAGTATTAGTGTTCTAATAAAAAATAAACTACAGAGAGAATGATACAGCAGCGCTATTGCTAGTTGCTAGGAATTTTAGAAATAAAACCATTATGATAGCACACATCTCTAGTCCACTGTGTTCAAAGTATACGGTTCAGAAGAAATATGAGATGTTTGCACATCAGCAACAGCAAACAGGGAGGTGACTGAGCTGGAGGTGCGGGAAAGCACTTGGCTGTCCTCTGCTGCACCAGGAAGACAGCCTTCACCTTCGCGGACGGGAATCCAAACAAAACGCAGCATCTGAACTGATCTCCAGAGGAATACACTGTGTTGCTAATGTTCTAAAGTTTTAGCAACTCAGTAGTTTTCTTTGGGTGGCTGGGAAACTGACCATGAGGAAAACGTGCTTAGGTTAGCAGCTGCGGTGCGATGACTGAACAGAATTGACTGTCAACAGTACGGGCCGGACAGGTACAGGACACATACTGGTAAATAACCCGATCTTCTATCAATATCAGGTGAGATATATGAGAAAGAAATTAGAAAGCTATCAAAAATATAAGACACAATCAGTGTAAGTTAGTTTAGCTGATTTGACAGAATAAAAATGCAAAACATAAAGCCCAAAATGCAGGGCATCATGTTACAGCCCTAAGCCTCAGTTTCAGTATCTGTAAGCAACAACGATAGGAATACCTGCCTCCGGGGCCGCTGCGAGGCCTGAAGGAGAAGCGGACCGCACAGCACCTAGCACAGGGCCCAGGACCCACGAGCACTCAAAAATGTCTGCTATTTTGATTACTGCTGTTGCAAGTCGAAGCGAAACACTAAATTCCTTCAGGTGTCTATTTCCTTAAGTATTTCCTTAAATTACTTCTTCATATTAACAACTACAACTATTCAATTATTAAACTATGTTCTGTTCAAGTTTCTCAATGGGTAAGAAATTTGTCAATGTCCTGCAAAAAAATCATTGATATTTCATGTCTATTTGAGAGCTAAATGACCTACCTAATCTCTTCCCATGGGAATAATAAGGTGGTTTCCTTCTTTAGTATGTTATGTATTAAGTTAAAAAATAATTCAATGTTCACTCAAAGTACAATAGATGAATGAATTCATTGACTCTTTCTTCAAAAAAAACATTTTCACAGAGATTTCAATTAAATCTAGGCAAATATTGAGCTGCTAAAAAAGATTCAGCATTAAGCCAAAATCAGCAATACTACAATTTAATTGCATTTCCTAATTCAAAACTTTTTTGTTATTTGTAAAACAATGATTTCTCCAATTCCCAGAAACCCTTAAATCCCATTCCACAATATCCTTGCTTGCATATATTTGGAGGGGTGGTGGTGGTAGGTATGCATGTCCATTCCATAGAGAGCTTATTACTTTATAAAGCAGCCTGTTGCTCTGTTCAAAGTTATTCCAGATAGTAAAATGTATATAGTAAAACATTCAAAGAAGTAAAACTCGAACCACATTACATTATACACTTAGCAAACTGTTTTTACCAAATAAATCATGCCAAAGTTATTCAGCAAAAGAAATAACCCTTAATGACATGTCTCATATTCAGCAAAGGATCAAACTGGTATTTCCTTTGTCTTGAGAAAGTGTTCAAATACAAGTAAATTACACCATCTCTGCTCTGTAGGCATTTAATCTTAAAAGAAAAGTCCCTAGTTATATGAAAAGATTTAAGAAAATAAAGATGACTGTAGGAGACTATGACAAAGCAATATTGTATTTTCAGAGTTCCTATCTTACCCACAAACACCATCAAGAATTTCCTTCTTTCCCATAAAATCCCTGATGAGAGGCAGATTTCAGAATTTGTCTTTCTAAACCTTGCATTATTAAGTTCAAACAGTATTTTATATTACCTGCAACACCAAACTAAGTGGAAATACCATCACTGTCTGAAATTCTTGTACAAATCTTACACTGAGCTACACACATTTCCCTTTGTAAATGCTAACAGAAGTACACAACACTTCATGTACTAATAATATGGAACCTCCCTTTTAGAGATATCTTGGAAAACAATGGCACCACTACATACAACCAGAAATAAAAATTAAAAATTATAAAGGATATCTTAAAAGGTTTTAAGGATAACAGTAAACTAAAAAATGAACTCAATGGAATTTAAACACTTCTATTATTTAAAATGCAGATATTTCAAATCTTGAATTTGGATATACAATCTCAATTTATATCAGTGAAATCAAATTTCACTACTTCATTCTGTTCATTATGAAAAATACAGCATCCCTATTAATTACAAAAATCAGAGTATATCAATTTAAATCAATGTTGCACTGCAATTATGCCATGTATCAATTTTGCATGGATGTTATTAGAATTCCCGAAAATATGTATAGGATCCTCCTCCAAAGTTAGAATTATGTATAGAAATATGTATAGATTTCCTCCTCCAAAGTTAGAATTAATGTTATGATCAGTCACACCAAAAATAAAAAATATTATATAGCTCATTAAAAAAAAAAATTTAAAGGCCTATCCTACTTAATCATTTGTCTACTCCAGCACGGTGTAGAAAGCAACAACTCGCATCTCAATTCAAATACTTTGTTGAAAAGTTATACTTCTTTGAAACCTAAACTTTCATATCTGTCACTACCTCAGGCATAAGGCAATTCCTACCACAAGGCCCTGTAAGTGTCTGAAATATTGTTATTTGCTTGTGCTAAAGAAAATCGGATCAGATTAACATACATATCAAATTAGTTTTGCAATTTTTAAATCTGAAATGGTGACTGTTACAGTCACCTATTTCTAAATTTGTTATAAATTCCAACTTGATCCTCCTGTTATGAGAAATGCTTTCATTTCAAGTAAAAGCACCAATTTTGATGGTTTTGTTTGATTCACTATACAAATGTCAAATTTTTCTCACTAGTTACTAACTGGGTACAGACTATGATGATCATCACACATTTCTTTAAAAACCTATCTTTCCTAATGTTACTAAAACATACTTTGCACCCATTTTAATACAAAAACACTTTGTTAAAATCAAATTGGTAATATATAAGCTTCTCCCTCTTAAGCACTCTTATCTTTTAGAGATACACACTGAAAATCTGAAATACGGTAT